AATTACTGTATGTGATATATTTATACGACAATGCAAGATAAAACACCCTGTGTGTTAATCATGATATTCAATATTAATTTTTATTTTTCATAGCGTTTTTTTTTTTAAATAGAAGATTGATTAAAGAAACGCGCGCGATTCATCGCAGTGTCACTTTCATTGGGGCTATAAATGATGAAAGTGTTTTAAAATTATTAATCTTCAAATATAGGAGTATAATACGCAGAAGATTTTTATGTAATCAGCATTCTCCGAGTCGTCTGTTAAGTGTCATTCCTTTATTCAGGGGCAATGTTCTTGAAATCAGTAGGGTGTGTATGCGTGTGTAATTTGATGGCCTACCAATCCGTAGAAGATAAAATAAAATTACATACTGTCTAGAGCTAGACCTGGTACGCATACTTGGTCCTCACAGCTGTACACTGAACAAGGTACGATCCCCTGCACCAGCCCTACCCCTGGTGTACACGTGCGTGCCCGAAAACGGGTCAGTAAAATTCATCTGTCATACATGTTTAACATACTTCACAATGACATTTACATTGATCATATAATTTAAAACATATTTGAATTAATTATTTAAATTTAAGATATGCAGATTACCATGATTACTTTCGTGTAAAAAGTTAATTTTGATATAACAATCACCCCTCTTCTCCCTTTATTTACTGGGACACTTAATGTGTCTTACACAAAACTCAGCACAATCACAACTTTGGATGGGGGGTTATTTTCCCAATATCAGTAGATGAATTGATTTAGAAAATAGCTAAGGCCTAAGTTGATTTAGAAAATAACGTATTCATGTATGAAAATTCAACGAAAACAGTGCAAAAAAAAAACTACCAAGCTTATTCCTGCAAAATTCTATCAAGGACTATTTACCATTGTTTACATCGCGTAAATAAAAAATTACTGAAAAAGAAATTCATTAACACCACAAACAATATCGGAACAACATTTTTTGCGCATTTTGCATTGGTAAGTAATTTTTTGTCCTCGATCAATCTAGTACATGTATACACAGTGTACATGTAGCTGCACGGACTAATCGTGGTCTCCTTAGTAACTGGTGGATTCCTGTGTATTGTGCGCGGTCAAGCGGAGAGGGATTTCCTGTCTCACAGTGACTCTGTACTGGGTATAATTTCACACCTTTGTGAAAGACAAAGGATTTGGATTTTCGCAACATTTTGACAGTTTTAAAATATAAACTCCTAAACCGGGTGGATTATCATGATTATAGTCCCCCCCCCCCCCCGATTATCTAGTGCCGTCTGCATGAACTTCATATTTTTTTTAAACATAAGGTTGTATGTTTTAATAACAATTACATTTGGATTCACAAAAAAAAGACTGATCTTAATGACTTTCCCTGTATATGTCGGTCTTCTACAAATACAAAAAAAAAGGAATGTTAACGCTGTCCTATATGTACTGTGTACATGTCTCTCAAAAATTACGACGAGCTACATGTACATGTATTTCAATGCGTAGTTAATCCCATACGTTGACAGGGGTGGCTATAGAGGTAAAATGGTAGAAATAATATTAATTCTTTTACATATGTATGCATGTATAGCAAAAGGACGATATATCAATTTATTATGCACAACGGTATGCACAACAAAGCACCCCGTTTCATCTGTATACTATTATTATGCGGATTTTTTTTTTATTTATTTATTTTTCTCTTATTTTATTTGCACATTAAGAGTTCATTAAGTAACACTTTAAACTGCATACAAATATTTCTACTACTCAGTGTTTTCATTTAACACACTTTTCTCATGAACATTGTTCGTACGTACAAGTATGCTTTCAAGCGGAAATGCGCTGCAGTTTAAAGTGAATTTTGCCGATTTAAAAAAAAAACACAAATAATAATACAAGAGAGAGAGAGAGAGAGAGAGAGAGAGAGAGAGAGAGAGAGAGAGATTTACTGCACATTGCCTATAAACATGTTTCAGAATATCTAGATCTTCCATTTATCGAAACATATACTATGCGTTTCATTGTAAAAGTGATATACGGTATATAGTCATTGATTTAGAGAAATAAAGTTTATGCTTATGCTGAGGATATAATTTATTTTTTTTTAAACCTGTTTTAAAAACTTAAATTTATCAAACATCAGAATAACTTCGGAAAACAATCATGCGCTATTTTTTTTTTTTTTTTTTTTTTTTAAATTATTCGGGTAGTACGTTTATGTATAACTGTATGATATTTTTAATAGCACCATTTTTTTTTTACTCAAAACCTGCAATTTTATAGACCGAACAATATGTAGTTATAGATATTAAATGGCCGTACAGGTAAGATCAATCCGATGTGCCAGTCAACGGTAAGTCACACCGCCGCGGTCTATACCTGGCTACAGGTAGGACCGCGATGAAATAACCGCGGGGGTGTATCGCGGAAAGGATCAAAACACCGCGGGGGGAGCGCGGTTTAATGCATAATCCGCGTTGACCGTACTGTAAGTACTTTAACTGGTTAGACATTTATTTGCATTTTCACTCAGTTCCTTTTCTAACGACTCGATTCCCTGCGTTAAGCAATGAACAACTGATGAAAGTTCCTCCACACGTAAAGCAGACTTACAGCACCTGCTGCATTCTTTAAATTCATTACATGAAACAGAATTTGATAGGTTCCTCCTTGGTGTAGATACCATTTGAGGCGGTGGTTGGGAAATAATATACATATATGACATGGCTTCGAGGTTGACATACCAGAATATTTGCCCCGAGGTGACAGGAAAGCCCTGGAGTTTTTACGCACCCGATTACCGAGGGGCAAATATTCTGGTATAGTCGCCCGAGAAGTCATGTGGGTAATAGTTATAAGCCGAAAACTGTCCATTATGTCAGATAGACGACCCAAAGCGCGTTAGCGCCGAGGAGAGTCTAATATCTGACATAATGGTCAGTTTGAGTTTTATTTTTGTCAAGAATATCAGAGGAAACCCTGGCTTACATAAGGATGTGGCTTGTTGTCTTCAGTAAAGAAAAACACACGGGTATAAAACTAGTACACCTGATCATTGCACCTTTTTTCCAATAATTCACAAACAAACTGTATAGTATTTGCCTCTTAAACATTGTTATCTGGATACAAGCTGCGCTGTCGTCAGGTTCTTTTAATTTTTGTTTTGATGCAGTTGTGACGTCATCGATCAACGTTATTTTAACCCTCTGACAAAAATCAATAATTTAATCTTATGATAAAAAAGGGAATGTTTTAATAATGATTATAACTCCAGAATGTTTTTCTGTGATTTTTTAATTTTTTTTCTACTTATTTTTAAGAGCTGATCTCGTTCTTGAAATATACATACTAATAAAAGAATTTTTGCTTTTTCTGAATGTTTATTACCCAAGTGTGAAGAAATATCGTTCTTTGTACAAATATGCAAAAAAAAAATGATAAGAAAAAATAATAATTTGGCAGTTCTCTTGAATTTTAAAAAGTTTTATTATACAATTAAATACACTGACCAAAATTAATTTTTTAAAGCTATAAATCTACAATTTCAAATTGTTCTGAATTTCTTTTTTTCCAACAAATATTATTAAAAACTTATATTTATTCCTTTTACGAAACATTCCATATATATACTCCTCAACACGTGTAATAAGTGTAGTAGAGGTTGTTCCACACGAATGTGATAGAGAAGTTGAACTCATAGCAGGAGCAGTTGCGTTTACAGTGCTATAAACGCAGTTGAAGCCTGCAGGTTCATAGTGGGAGAGAGCAGTGGATATGCAAATATACACGAATGACAATATGATGCATTACATATTTTAGTGGATTCATTTCATTCATTTTAATTGAGTCAAAGCCTCCCCAAGCCTAATCTACTCGACTGAATTCCTAGTTTGACTCCTTAGAAAAGGGTAAAGCTGAAATAAATAAATATTAAATTGAAAATAAAAATCATAACTCACCTTTGTAGTTTCCGATTTATACAGCGATTCTGGAATGAAAGAAGTCGGTTCACTTAATGCATAAAATGGCCCTGTAGATATACCAATTAATTGATCAACTTTTGATTTTCTATTTGAAGCATTAAAATAAAATAGAGACTTGGTGCTTTCATATCCTATTAAAAAATTTCTCCTCAAAGTCCAGGTCTTGGAGAACTGGCTTTATGAAATTGCTTTGTTCTTGAATTTTTAGGTAAACAGGTATAATTGAGTACTTTCAGTGAAGGAAAATAATATCAGCGCACCCTCTGATCTAAAAAATAAAACATGTCCATGAATCCTCAGAATCAGTTCGATCATTTACTAGTTGCATAATTTAGATCAGAGGGTGCGCTCTATATCAAATATCAAAAAATAACTTTTTATGGAATATGAGGAAATTGACGCATTTCGTGACGTCATAATGCATTGACTAGCCAGAAAATGACGTCATTTTTTATAGGATCGCAGTCACCAAAGATCCAAAGAGATGTTTTAATACATTGTTTAATAAACTATGCAGTTTCAGTTTTTCAGAAATTCACAGGGCCAAATAAGGCAAAAGTGAACCTTGTTCTTTGTTTCCTCATGTGAACGTAAGAGTTTATATTGCGATGTGAAATGTAAAAGCTGTTGACCTGTAGTTTTATCAAGATAAAAAATGTGTACCACGCAGAATAGTTAAGGTGCGCAATAGAAATATCGGCGATTTTTTGACGGTGGTTATTAAGGGGAGTGGTAGCTTACCTGAACAATTTTAGATTAGGAAAAAGGATGGAGATCAAACTCCAAAATCCTATGTTATGGATGAGAAGGGAGTATTTTATCCTTTTTTTTTTAAAAAAACAAATTCATTATGGTAATACATGACTATAATCGAACAAAAAGTGTGGATAAGGGAGGGGCCGGCATTGAACAATTACAGCAGTACAATATTAAAAGCGCTAGCTAGTACAGAGATTTGTACGCAGTATAGTTAAGGTTTCCCAGATATATTTGATCAGGAAAAAATTCCGCGAAATCTTTGTCTCTATCTTTGACGTCATAATGACTTACTTCTGCTCTTGCACTTTCCATTGAACGAACGTCAAATCGCCAATATGTTTCAAATTAAAGGTTTGCTATTTATATTTTTTTGAAAGATAAGACATATGCATTATGTTTTCCTCCTTATATGTTTAAAATATGCTTCTTTTGCTTGTTTTCAATTATATTCTCGCGCATGCTCAATTCCTCATATTTACCAATCCGTGTCGCCAACACTCTTGTCAGTCTAGACATCGATGATTTTCCCACGGGCAGGTGCGTGAGGAGAGAGGACAGAAAACGAAGCAGAAATGCCGTTCGGGGTGACGAAATGAAAAGTTAATAGTAAGTTGATATGATTTAAGCTTTATTTTTCTTCTTTTAGGTGTTTTGAGCAGATCAGGCGAAGACAATAGCTTTTACAAAGTTGCGGAGTAAACCATGTGGCTTTGGCCATGTGGTCTTACATTTTTTGTCGCACTGACTTCAGGATTAATAGAATGAATTATTTTTAAGTAATATATATTGATCTGCACATGAAATGCCATGCCCATGAGATGCTGTTACAAATCTGGATAGTTTATATTCATTTTTTTTTTGGGGGGGGGGGGGGGTAAACTGTTTTTATGTTACCATGATCATGATGAAAGAAATAATGAAATGAAAGAAAAAACCTAAACAGTTTAACCATTTCAACATAAAAAAAGTATTTTGCAAAAAGCAAAAAGCAATATCCTAAGTAGAGCTGATTATTAATAAATGAAATATGAAATTCTAAGCAGAATTGTTGAGCATGTTGAGTGCATGAAATATTTAACATATGCTTTGTAGAACTATAGATTTACAGTCAACTCATACACAAACCGACTCGTACACAATCCGAGTAGTACACAAAAAGTCAACTCGCACAAAAATCTGAAGTCAAGTCGAACACAAATCAGGTCAACTCGTACATTATATAAATATTGCTTGTAGTTGAGTGTAACATTGAAAATTTTCACCCCTCGAAAACCATTATCAACAGAGGCGAAGCCGAGGATGAAAATGGTTTTCGAGGGGTGAAAATTTTCACTCAACTACACGCAATATTTACTATATTATACTGAATGTTTTATACAAATACATAAAACAGTGAACCTTGCGCGCATAAATTCCGCGCAGTCACTATTTTTTTGGAATACCACCCATCGTCAAGCAATGATGACTGTTGCTACGCAGGAGGGCATGGCTTCATTTTTCAGCAGGTAGTAGTGTTTTTTATCAAATGTTTCTCGACAAATCAGATTCACGTAATGTACATGAATTCAAAGTATAATATTTTATTTACAACTGTTATTAATATTAATTACTTTAATATGAATAAAGTATACTCAAGAAAAAATAGAATAAGGTGGAAGAGAAGTGTTAATTAATTTTTTTTCATAAATATTTTACATGTTTTAGTGGTTTAACATTTAATTAACCTGGCATCTCTAGTCAGGAATTCAAACAATTATTGTTAAACCAACACAAGCGCGGTATCTTTTTATTTCAATTTGATAAGGTTTGTTTTGGAAATTTCATGCAATTATAAATGCGATATTCCATTAAAATATTACGTTGTTAGGTATATCGATCATATTTACTATCTACACTATATACAACTATATACATATGTTACGGAGTCCTAAAATTTCTAACTTTCTAAAGTAGATATAATAATAAACAAAATATTTATGCATCTGATTATATTCAAATCTACATGAATAGTACATAATATATTATTTGCATGAACATGGTGAAAGAAGACAATTTTTAAAATGTTTCACAATCTAGAATAATCTAACTGTGCCTCAGTACCGATCACTGGATGAAAAATACAGTTTCCGCATGGCTGAAACTCTACTGAAACTCTGCGGAAACTTAAGCTTTCTAATAGTTTCTGCAAGGTTTCAGTGCGGAAACTTCAAATTTCATCAAGTTTCCGCAGTGCGGAAACCAAAGGTGTCCGCGAATCCAAATAGTTTCCGCCACGGAAACTTGCTGAAACTTGATGTATACGCAAGGTTTCAGCAAGCGTATACAGTTGAAATACATATGGTGTACCATAGGTTTCCGCAACTGAAACTAGCTGAAACTTGATGTATACGCAAGGTTTCAGTATGCGTATACGGTTGAAATACATATGGTGTACCAATGGTTTCCACAACAGAAACTTGTTGAAACTTGAGGTATACGCAAGGTTTCAGTACGCACTTACAATATTGAAATACATAGGGTGTACTATAGGTTTCCGCAACGGAAACTGTAGTATTGACTACAAAATTTAGCCAAGGTTTTCAACCAAAACTCATTTTTCACCTGAATTTTTAAATTGGAAAAAACAACAACACACTCACACTAGCTAGTTATCAAAGAATATTTAATGTTATTATAAACATTTACATACATTGGCTTGACCATTTATTTTCTCTTGCATCATAAATATTTTTACAGCCAAGTCCGAGCCCTCATGTCACGAGAGGAGGATAGAAAAATGTCTGCATTTAATGTCGTCTCATACATGAGAGATATAATCTTCCGAGAGGAACTTAGAACTGCAATCAATCAACTAAACCTGAATTCGGTATATTCAAGTCTAGTATCATCTAGAAAATGTAAAAGTACTTGGTATAATAAATGCACAAGTTCACATCATTAGTAGCCAATAAGCACAAAGGTGGATTCCTTTGTTAAATATTCAGTTTGTACTCCATCATCAACTGACAGAAAAGTCCTTGAATGGTCCTCATTTTTTGACGACCCACTTGCACTAATCATGCTTATGCTAGAGGTGGCTATATGTTTTTGGAACTGTGCAACACATCACTGTAGTCTGCATGTATGACTTGTTCCAGTTTCAGTTGACTTTAAAAATATCAATGCTTGAATACAGAGAGACTTGTTTTCATCCTTGGAGAAATGATATCATGTTCAAGTTGGATTGACCTGCTCATCTGTTACTTCAACCTATTGAAAATATATATAAATATAGTTTTACAAAATCCCAATCTAAATAAAACAACATGTTAGATCCTCTCGCATACTCGTGCTAAAATTAAAAATATGTTAGTATAAAATATGTTTGTTTGCCATTTACCGACCAGATTTTAAGAAATGGGTAGGTAGGTAGGAAAAATATTCTATTTTTTTTCTTCTTGACTTCAAATCAAATTACTATTAAAATAAAAGAAAACATCAATATGTTCATGTACATATTCTTTGTAAATGGAACTTATGCTTCATGGAACAAAATGTATTAGTAAATTTGGAATAAAAAAAAATGTAATTGAAAAGTGAAATAAAATATTTTGAGTCAGACAAATTTTCATGGGTCGGTCGGCTAAGGGCAAACAAACAAAATTTTAATTTTGGCCTCGCTACACAACATCTAACAACATCCCATTGAGGGTCCCATCAGATGTCAAATACTGAACAACTCTAGACTTATTTGTTCCAATAAATTAAATACAATAATTTTGCAGTCTAATATTTGATTGGTTAATAGAATTTGACCTCTGAGGTGACACTCTACATGATGTTGGATTTAGGCAGTATGTGCGCAGATCTAACATTTAATTTAAATAGATTGACAAAGTCCCTAATGTTGTTCCTGTACAAGCCTTTGTTTGATTAATTTCACATTTCCATCATTTTTTGATCAGAATGACTTAAAATAAAATCTAAAAATTTATGAAGTGTTAAATCTCATTAGTTTATTAAAGTTGCCTCTTTTATACACTTGACTACGGATAATGAAACAAACAAACTTGAATTTATTTAAATGTACCTGAATATGTATGTATGGATTTGTTCCTGATTTTCAGAGTAAATTAAGGATTTTTTTTCATTTTACTTGTTCATCAAAATAATTTTTTGTTCCCCCACCCTAGACCCTTAGGCCATGATTCATGACATTTGAAAAACAACTAGAGGCCCACAGACCTTATAGGTCACCTGAGTATCATTTAACAATTTTCACACAATTGAACTTGGTTTGTGTTTTAAAGAAAGAGCCATGAAGTTCCCAATTTTGAAAGATGCACCATTGTTTATCATAATTATATACTTAAAATGCTTACTTTGGTTACTCAATACCCAAAGGTAGATCAGAGTAATAAAGATACTAGTAAAATGCAATTCCATTTTATAAACACCAGTTTTGTATACCCCACCCCACAGGGACCACTAAACCTGGGGCCACACATTTCAAAATTTTCTAAATGTTATCATAGGTTTTATTTCATCATAAATGGTCGATTAATTCCAAAGAGCTATATAGACCCATCCTAGTACTAGAGTACTAGAAGTCTAGAACCCCTGACCCTGAGGCCATGAATTTCATAATTATGGTAGATGACTCAATGCTGATTACAATCATGCCAACAGTTTTACTGCTTGATGTCCAGGAGTAAAGAAGAAGATTTTTAAAGATTGCATTAATTTTAGAGGTTTTGGCCCCACCCCTCAGGCCCGGATTGGGGGGGGGGGGCAGGTATCATAAAATTTACAAATTTTGTTCCCCTTCACCCATAGATGCTTTGTAGTAAAAATAGTTGAAATTAGTTAAGCGGTTGCAAGGAAGAAGCTGAAAATGTTCAAATGTTAACACACGACAGACGTAAACAGATAGTAACAGGTCACCTGAGTTTACTCAGATGAACTAAAAATAGGCCTGTTGATAAATACTTATTTTAAATAAATCATAGAATTTTAGTAGGTAGCTCGCAAAATGAGACTTTTAAAGAAATGTGAACATCTGTTTATTTAATGGAAATGCCAAACATAGAGGAAAGCAGCTTACACCCTCTCCCCTCCTCCCCCACAACACACACACACTGACAATCACTGACTATGATAAATAGAGAGCTTAACATTACACAGTGAGATTAAGAAAAAAATAGAAAATAAAAACATTAACTTTATGCTTTACTCCTCAATTTCCTAAAATAGAGCTACATAATAAGTTCTTAATACTAATACATACTTTTTTACAGAAGCATTCTTCATCATGTTCATCCTCTCTTAGTTTTCTGATGATTTGTTCAGTGGATATCTGAAATTAAAATAGATTCAGTTAGTACAGTACCGTACAGTAAAAACTTTTTTGTTTTTAGTATGAGCTCAGAAAAGTCCCCAAAACCACTTGCATGTCCATTTCCTTGTACCTGACATGCAGCATGTGCAGTGAAAATTCTAATGGACACATGACAAATGCCCCTTAGAATTAGACCAGAGTGTGTCCATTTTAAAATGATTGAAAATTGTATCATTTTAAAATGGACACACTCTGGTCTAATACAAAGGGGCAGTCTAATACTAAGGGG